GATGGTGGGGATGGTGGTCATGGCCACGGTCATGACTCTGGACATGGTCACGATCATGGTCACGGTCATTCCAGCGGCTTCTCAATCAAACAAGAACATGGTGTTGCTATCCATCATCACGGTGGAGATGGTGGGGATGGTGGTCATGGCCACGGTCATGATTCTGGACATGATCACGGTCACGGTCACGGTCACGGTCATTCTAGTGGCTTTTCAATCAAACAAGAACATGGTATTGCGGTTCATCATCATGGTGGACATGATTTAGGTGGACACGGTGGACATTAGATCTGTACCAATTTATGATGGATTTTTATTGTTTTCATGAAGAGAATATTTTATTTTAGTCGAAATTGAAATGATTGTTGAGGACTGATCTTATATTTATAAAGTTACTTAAAAGTTAACAAAAACGGAAAATGTCTTATTTTGAAATGTTATTAAAACACAAATTGATTATCTCGAATTGAGCGTTCCTCTAAATAAATTTGATTAAATTCATGCCAATACATTGAGCTACATTTCACACTCAGAACTAACGGCAATCCTTTTCTAAAACGCATAGGTCAGAGAAATTTTCAGACTTCAAGTTGTCYAAGCTTAATTAAGCTGTTAAGAAGTMCCWCAAGTTTTTTATGAGCTTCTTTATATAAAATTATGTTCAWAAAATAGTCCACARAAGTTGTTTAWATCTAAGTATGACGTCTTTAAAATACGTGAWCTAAGTTTAAGTTGGCAGAGTTAATTTATAATGCGTATTTCGTTAACATCATAATCAGTAATGTGCAAAAGCATAGTGACATATAATAAAGATGTCTTTTTTGTTTGTGTTCCTGATAAAAGATTCAAACTGCAGATTTAGCTGTGCCTTTCATTTAACCATTACAGTTTTCTCTTTCTTCTATGAAAATTAAGAGCTTAGAATAAAACATATACCGAATGTGAGGACTTCTATGCCTGACATACCTATGACCAATAGAATCAACATCTCTTTTTTTCTACAATATTGTGATCAGATACTAATAGTTGACAACAACCACCAACTACTTTCGGAAACTCCCCTGTAATATTATAAAGATTTCAGTTATTAGATTGGACTTAATACTACATATATACCACATTACTGACCGATACGGTCACTTAATATAACGCAAAATGACAAATACTTATCGGCTGTAGACTTATACTCTCGCTTTATTCAATTCAAGTRTCAAAGGCGGGGTCATACTTTCAGAACTTGACAATAAATGATGTTTAAGATAATAAGATACTTACGTTAAAGGTTATAGACTGACTAAGTCATAGGTCTTAAAACGTATGGCATGTACAAAGAAATGTAAAATGGATGTACCATACGTTTTGAG